TTATTCTTTTTTTTAAATATTTATTGCCAATTTTTGTTGTTATTGTTACTATTATTATTATCAATTTGAATGACGCGCTCTTTTGGGGCCCGGGCCAGTTGAAGTTTTGGGCGACGTCGTCGTCATCAGCTGCGGTGCGTGTTAATGCACCACTTCCTGTTACGCTACTGTACCGGAGCGATATACCTTTGCCGTTATTAGTGCAACGCCAGCTTACGATGCCAGCTTATTTGGACGCTCTCGCACTCGCACTCTCTCTTGCTCTCTGTCTGTSTGTCTTTCTGTTTTGGGCTGTCTGTCCCTCTGCCATGCATCGCGCTCGCGCTCGCATTCACACACACATACACACACACACACTCTCTCTCTCTCTCTCACTCTGGCGCTCTTGCTCTCTTCATACTCTTACTCTGTTTCTTCTTCTCGTTTTCTTCTTTTTTTGTTGTTATTGTTTTTGGGAAGCCAACTGCAACTCCGGGCATGCGATTTGAAAATTGTGTCGTCAGCTTGACACAATTTTCCAGAATGCGCCTGGAACGCACGAAGCTAGTTCTCTGGAACGGGAACGGGAACAGATTTTCGGGAACATTGCGTTGCTGGGCTTAAGGGGGCCGCTTTGCAGATGCGTTCAAACTGCTGCTGCCGCTGCCTCTGCCACTGCCTCTGCTTCTGTCTCTGCCTCGGCCACTGCCGCTGCATCGGATTGTTCATGTAGGTCTGGATTTTCGGAACACGTGTCTTACACTTTGCACTTTGAATGCATTTATTCAGGGTTTCGCAATTAAATAATCTGACAGTGTATCACTTAGCCACTCGCTGTTAACTGTCGATGTTGGCATTTGATTTATTTTCTGTATTTGATTTGCATTCACATTTTATGTTTTCCTAAGATGACAGCCAACTGAAGCTAATCAAATTAGCTGCCTCCCGAATGCCGGCAACAATTTCATGCATTATGCATTTTGCAGCAACAGCAGCAGTTGCCAAAATGCTAAGCACTCGCCGCTAACACATATACGTATGTATATATGTTTGTATGTGTGTGTGTGCGTGTGTGTGTGTGTGTGTGCGAGTTCAATAGCATTCTGCCCGGCATTAAAAAATAAATAAAGCCGCCGCTTGCTGCATTTCGCTGTTGAGAGCGACAGCAGCGACGCTAGCAGCAGCCACAGCAGAGAGCCAGCCAAAGAGAACACAAGCTTAACATTCTCTTAACAGTAAGCGTTTAGCAGTAACCGAACGAAAGCTTTTGCACTGTTAACGTGCAGTCCACAACAAAGTCCAGAGAGATAGCAGCTGAAAGTGTTTGCAGCAAGATCACCTTTTAAGTAGGCAGTGCTTAATTTTTATTCTTTTAA